AAAAAAGAAATCATATCAGTTATTTAATTACTTGAATTGTTATGATTGGTTCATTATTTAAACTATTCTAGTTAAGTGATGTTGCAATTTCGTACATCAATTTTTGTAAATGTAACTTTATATTATAATTGCAATTTTTCCAATTTAAATCATCCATACAAAATTTAGGTATTAAAATTTGTTGACAAACAAGGAGGAAGGATTACGCTGTAATTGTAACATCTAAAAATAATTGATAAATGGTGTTATTAGCCGCTAGCTGTTTAGTTTCATTTCATTTAATTTCTCTAACTTTCTTTTAGGTCGTTTCGCACTCTTTATTAAAAAAAATCTTTGACACACAAACTAGCCCAGTAACAGAATCACTAAAATTAAAAAAAAAATAAAAATAAAAATATGAAAAATTCATTATTTGAAATAATATTTTGATTAAAGTTTATTACTTATAAAGTTACTGTATATAATATTCTAAAAAATATCTTCATTTGGGAGATTTTATTTTCTATAGAAAAGCATTAGTCCGAAAGTTGAAGATGCAGAAATGATTTAGAATTTACGCTGCGTGGATTCGCGTGAACTCAGGTAGTATTAAACGATCCACAAAATCGTTGTCATTCTATTATTTTGAACTGCAGATAAGAATGCATTGGAATTGCGTTTACATTATGTGAGAATTTATAAAAAAATTCAAGCAACTAACTTGATCCCTTCCATCAGAACGTTTCACGGGAAATCGAAGAAAGCACAAAAAGTTATGATAAAACAGTTTGACTTGGTGATAAGAAGGATTGAGGCATTTCATACTGCATACAATTAATACAGTGGTCAATTCAAATGCAGGTAATAGAAAACGTAATCAAAAGCAAGGTCAAAGTAGTAAAGGGTCAACATCCATGAATGGAACTGAATGCTTTCACATTCTAAAAGAATACCAAATAGTTATTCGATAATTTTAATTTTGTGAAAACATAATTTATTGGTGATTTAGATTGATTATGATAATGTTCATAAATCTGAAGCTCACTTTTTTTTGGCATTTATTTTTTTTTTAATAACGTCTGGTAGGAACGAGTAGGAAAGTTGAAAATTTCTTGTGTTAAAGTCACCTCAGATTAACTT